GCTCATCAGCCCGTGTTAGTTTGACTAAAGATCGCCTACCTAGGTCACTCTCGCGGGTAGCACTTTCCTATAGGACCAACGAGTGGGCGAAGCATCTGAGCAATGCTGAAGCTCCCGAAGTTGATCAAATCCACATCGAAGTATCTCAAAACCCAGCAGTTCCGACCGTCGAGGCGCCCGCACCAGTGCATGTCGACGAGCTTCGAAAATCGTCAGCCGAAGGAACCCCTGCACCCATGATTTCAAGACCGGACTCTCAGGCGTCCAATTACTCGCACACTGCTTCAAGGCGCAACGTAAAGCAACACGTCCCAGCCGCTCTCGCTCTACTCACAGGCGAGAGTCAGAGCCGAAGCCCTGGGACCACTCCCCCTAGTAGCCTTATGGCACGAACTTCTTCGGGAGGCTTGCGAATAGCCTCAGGCGGAATTGCTCCAATTGCAGAAGAACAAACTGTTCCAAGCCTGACTCCAGCGATTGCTGAGGAGGAAACCATGGAGGTGCAAAACATGACTGCTCCAGCGGCAAATGAAAGTCAACGCACTTCAACACCAGGCGTTGTATCTTATTCGAGCCCCCAGACTCTCCTTGGTCAACGAGAGATGTACCTCCGCAATAAATCGGCCGGGAACCTAGTGCCCAGCTCATCTGACATGAACCTTCCTACACGCCACAGAGCTTCGAGCGACGCAGGATCACTCAACAATTATCCGATGTACGCCGCCGCTATTGGTGTAGATGTGGACGACTTGCCACTTAATCAGAGGAAGGAACTCTTGCGACAGAGCAGTTTAAGCCCTTCTATCTCAACACCATCTTTGCAGCGGCTCAGTGGCGGCAGCAACAGTAACGGTTTCAATAGTTCAGAAGCACTATTGAACACCCACCAACCGAAACGTGTGTCAACTCTTCCCACTTCTGCAGCCCGCGAGGCTGCACTTGCGACATTCCGACAGTCAGTCCAACATGAGTTACGCGCAGGTACCCCTGCCATCAGCAGTTCTGGCCGTGAGACACCCTTCACCCCATCGTCTCTCTTAGCCAGCAGAGAAGTTGAGGTCCAGCGCAGTGTAGACATGAGCCGCAACATCCTTTTGAGCCAAAAGCAAGCCGAAGCCCAGCGCCGCGAGACGCAGCAGCGGGAAAGGGAATGGGCTGACAAAGCCTTTGACGACCGAATGCGAAACGGCGACCTTCTTGACGTTCATCGTGAGGCCATGCGTAAGCTTCAGAGGCACGCCAAAGACATGTAACCAACGTCCTCCGCAACTTTTTCGGAATCCATTGTACTCCGAATTAGTTTCCTTTTCTCTCATTCCTTTTTATCTACCAAGTCATTTCACATACCCAATTTCTTTTTATCTCTTTTGATTATTATGATACCAATGGGTTTCACGGTCACTATTAAAAGTCGGGGTGGGGTGGTTATGAAGTATGGGTAAAATATGACACTGGGGTTCGGAAAGCTCCTCATTACAATATATATACTAGATAAAAGCGTAGGGATTAATCTAGTGCCTCTTTCGCTCTTAAAACGATAGCAAAATCCAAATTAAGGCTCACCTAGGCTCAATAGCCCACTTTTCAGCAGTAAAAGGAGAGAAGGAGTTCATGAAAGGTGAATTATCAAGACTTGTAAAAGTACTTGACGATGTACATCTAAACCAGAGTAAAAACTTTTCATACCTACGCCATCGCCTGCAATGATATCGAGCCCGGGAAATACGAGCTATGTTAAAAACAAAATGGCGATAAAGAAGATAAAAGACAGGGATCCCATTGCATCAACTGAATGTATAGTGTTTATCATCTCGCCCAGCCATACGTTCGCTCCTAGCGCCGATATGTTTCCTGTAGTGGTTCAGTTGTAACAGAATACGTCGACGACATGGGAACCAACAGACTGGACTCAGTAGTAAAAATACCCGGACTTGGGGCGATCTCTCTATCAGCCCAAACAAGTGTCTGGTTGCAGGGCTGCATAGCGGAGCTGTTCTCCCACAACTGGTTGTTGACGACGGAGGGGAGAGAGTCAAGAGGCAGACCGCGATCAAGCGGGTGTCGTTTATCCTTCTTCTTACCGAAGCGAAACGATGAGAGTGAACGGAATGGAATGACGGACATATCGAAGCGCGTCCGGAAGAGGAAAGGATTACGAGGAGGTGGGTTGATGGGTTCCGAGAAAGTCGGGATAGTTGGGGGAGGATAGGAAATCTCCCGTAAAGGCGACTGTGATACTTGTAACCCACCCACTCGAGGTCCTAACTCATATTCACCGGTCACGGCGGGAGCGTCGGTGGACTGTAAAGATATTGGGTTGAGGCTTGCAGAGGACGCCGTGCTCAAATTGCGCTGAGACAGAAGACTCCTGATCTTGCTCGATATCGAAGAGGTACTATGTCAAGTTAGTTATACAAACGAGAAAATCCCCCAGTTATTTACTCACGTCGAAGTCGTGGAGCTCATAAAGCGAGAGTGTCCAGAACCGCTCCCACCGATTGTCCTGTCAGGGTCATACTCCTCGTGAAGCTTGGGGAAGAGACATCCAAAGCCAAGACATAGCAGGCCGCGACGATAACTATTCATGGCGTCCTTGGTCATGCCGAAAAAGATGACGACAGGAATGGCGGAAAGGATGTGGATATAGCAGTTGTTCAGATACCCGAAGTTGACACCATTGGAAGGGACAAAAATGACTGCCGACCATGGATAAGGGATCACTCGGTTATGGATGAGGTCGTAATCAAAGGGTTGAAGAGGAAATGCCTTCAGCATGTTTAGAATAGCAAGGGTGACCACAAGAGGTAGATAAGGGACTAAGATGGCCAACACCATCAGGTAAAGGCGACGCTTCGTCCTCTGAGCGCGTTGGTTAGCAGACCTGCTGCTGTTGACCGCCGAACGAGTGGTTCTTGCAATGTCACGAAAGCGTATATAGACAAGGACTGTGTGATGTTAACTACCTTGGACTTATGTATGGGTCGGTGATAAGGGAGGCATAGACTCACTCGCATATCCGGATGTTACCAGTGCGACTGTAACAGGGGCCAGGACGAAGAAGACCATATATGGCCACGAAGGCCATGCAATCCAGCTGCATCCAGCCAGGGTAGCTACTGCGTACCGCTGAGTAGTCAATGGCCAGACCCATGCGACCTGGATAATTGGAAGAGGGAACATGATGAGTGCCTGGACCAGGTTACGCCGGCGTCTCTCCCGAACTGTGAGGGCATTGGCACGAAGGAGGCCGACTTGCTGGGCGAGATTCCGCATGATGGCCAGGAGGCAAGTTCCGAATAAGGCGCCAGTGAAGCTGACGTAGTAGGCATTGACATCGCAGAATACTTCGCCATTCCACCACTTGCTAGTGTCGTCGTTCCGCCAAACGAGGGCGTTGATTATTGTGTCGAGATTTGACCATTCGATGTTGGCAATAAAGACAACAGCTGCGAATTCACCATTGCGGTAGAGGTTCTTCAGAGGGACTATACAGGCAATATTGGCGATGAGCCCGAAGAGAACTCTGCAAACAAGGTTGGCTGTGAGAGATGGAGTGGTGATGGTTCCAGGTCCAGGTGCCACGATGATAGACAAGTCGTCGCGACCAAACAGGTGAGCTGAGTCGATCATGACGACAGCGAAGGAGGAGGGAAAGAAGGGGTGAATATATCTCAAGATCTGTCACGGTCAAAGAAACTTGGAGTTGTTGGTGATGGTGATAGATGCAAGATGGCTCCCGACGTTTACGTCTTGGCTCAACGGTTGATTAGAGCGGGAAGCGCAAGGACCTCACCCAGGGAGCAATGGCTCTGTTGGCTATGTCGAGCAGGACTTAAATAGTATATAATGAAAGGAAGAAGTAAGTCAATGGCAGCTAGATGTGTCATGGTGGAGGGCTCAATAAGGTGGCCATACCGTCACTTAGACATGAGATGAGATGAAGGGGCGGCATGCCAATTGGCGTTCCTGGGTCCCTAATTAGCAGCATATTTTCGCTCGGGGAACTATCATTAGCCCCCTCCTCCCCCTTTCAATAATGAAGAAGCTGGAATCTCCGCCTCCATTTGGATTTTGGCGTTACTGTCATGTCTGGTTGTATAAGGCGCGGCTATTGTGGGCGTCTATTGACAACCCGATCGGGTAAGTGGATCTGGCAGGGGTGAGCGAGCAAGACCACTGAATAAGGCTCAATAGGCTGCAATACATGGGTGCTTCAAAGCTCATTTACAAAGTACATACATAGAAACAGGTCTGTTCGATCTAGTAAAGTTGATAAGGAAGTCGGCGATGCTAAAGTCTGAGCCGTATAGCATGGCCATTTCTCAGCAACATATACCGACCGACTGGATCATTTATTGGGAGTGATCCAGAGCACTCAGCACCGCGGTCTAAAGTACTAACTAACCTCGATGGGAGGATGAACAAGGACCGCCATTACAGTGCAACTGAAATGGTGATTTCAGTCTCCGCTAGTGAATAATTTAGACAGTCTATGCTAGAGGAAGTGATTCGTTTCTTCCGATTCACCGAGAAGCGAAGTCTGCTTTTGGAATGGACCACTTCTTGGCCACGCGGAAGTTGGACGGGTTTGATTATGCTTTCGAGACATCTATTAGAACTTTACTAATGGTACCTAGGCTAGTAGGTTTAACGTTAATGCGCATAAATGCGAGGTCGTATTCAAATCCCAGTGTACGGTAGTTACGGTCGCAGATATGCAGTTATCCAGCACTCCATACTTAGCGGCACCCATCTACCGGGTCGCACAACACCAGCAATCTGAGCCAATCAAATAGCGCATTGAGGGAGCATCCCTGAATTCCAATCTCAGCTTGCCCACCCTATCGCGTATCAGGGTTTCGAAACAAACCGTCTTGACGCGACAAGCACACTAAAGCTCAGTCCTCCAGTGTCCACCTTATCAACACCACCCATACCCTCGCCGTCCCAGTTCCCAGCTTCAGCTCTTCACCAACAACGTATCACACAAACAAGCAAACATGTCTTTCTCCTCCGTCTTCCGACGCGCCGCTGTCGCCCCTGCCTCTGCTGTCCGGGCCTTTAGCACCACCACCCCTCGACCTCTGGCCAAGATCACCATCATTGGTAATCTCGCCGACACCCCCGAGGTTCACTCCACCAGCACCGGTCGCGAAGTCCTCCGCTACGCTGTGGCCAGCAACAGCGGCACTCGAGACAACCGCAAGACCAGTTGGTTCCGAGTCACTAGCTTCGCCGAGGGCCCTCAGCGCGATTATCTCATGAACCTTCCTAAAGGGTGCGATAACTTATAAATGCAATTGCAACACGTGGTATTTTGTGCTGACTGTTACTTAGTGCCAGCGTCTACGTCGAGGGTGATGCCTCCTTGAGCACCTACACCGACTCCAACGGTCAGAACCGCACCAGCTTCAATGTCGTCCAGCGTATGTTTACTCCTCCCTAGGTACTATTTACCACAGCTAACCATTCTTGAGGCACACTCGAGGTTCTCCGACGTCCTCAGGCTCCTGAGCAGGGCGAGTAAGCAGCAAATATCAACCGAATTCCTTGTAACATGGTCACAAATAAATCGTCTGGCCGTAGTTTTCTGCCTGCCTGTTCTCCTCTCTCATTATGACACGTTTCTTTTGTTGGATGTTAATGTATGGATGTAATGTACGATGAGTGTTGTGCGCAACCTTAGGAGGATCTGTATGATATCACGATGCAATAAACTTTGCTGATCACGCACTTATTCCTTCGTCGTGTGTTCGCTTATACAAGCTACTGAATAGAGCCCATGGTTTAGGAAGGGTTGTCAAAGCACTAAATCGTACCCAGACTGCCTTGTGGTCATAAATACCTATGTGTGACCCCAGCTCTTCAGACGCACGGCGGATTCTCCTCCGTTTGGGCAAGTTTCTATTACAGCAAGGAAGGATTCCTCTACGGAGGTGGGCCTGGTTGTCAGCAAGAAATTGTATGGTGTTGATACCTTATAGATGCTGAAAGAGCTATGCCTGGAATCTAAGAGCATCTACACCAACGCACAACTGTCCATACATCCGAAACCAGCTGCGACCCCACCTTCCTCGCTCTTATCGCCCTTTGTACGCAAAAGATACCCGGCTTCCTCATTGTGGTGAACTTTGCCTGTGCTCTGGTCCCAAATGCAAGTACCATAAATGCCCAGCTCGCAGATGACACCGCCTTGCTCTAGATTGCCATTGCGAAGAATGATGTTATTGACCGGTGGGGGAGTGATGAGCTCCATGAGAATATAAGACCCCCAGTGGGATTCGGGAACAGATTTGAGGAAGTCTGGGATAGCCCCCCGATAGATGTTGTTGCCACCACCTTCACGCTGGGGCTTCAACACATAACTTTGACAGATCTTGGGGTCGAGGGCCTTCTTCCGGGCCTCAAGGCCGGCATCACTGCTGTCCATCGGGTAGATGTTGGTAAATGTGCGCCATAACTCAGCTGCCTCATCCGTGTCATCGCGAATGAACCTACTAAGAGCCGAGGACTCTGTGGAAGGGCGTGGTGTTGCAAGAATTTGTTGAACCTTCTTCGTTCCAGCTAATTGAGTCAGGACACTGGGGCATTTGATAGCATTCGACCTCTCCAGGTGATAACGAGCCTCCCAAGCTCGTTGATCAGGGTAGTCAGAAGGCCCATATCCAGATCGCATGTAGATCACAGCAACTTCGTAAATCTTGGAAGGGTTTCTTGGAAGGAGGTATAGAAGCTGGCGTCTAGAGGTGTCTGCAATCTTGCTGTGCTGTAGGATTTGGGAATAAGGTAGTCGGAACACAGGGATAGATGACGAAGAGCTAGAGATTTGGTATTCAAGATGGCGCTGGTCGAAGATATTCCTCTCACCATCTTGCACGAGAAAGATGACGCACTTCTGGTGGCCAAGTTCAGAGTCGGGATAAATGTTGTACGCTTTCACGATACCTGCTGCTAAGCCACGAGTGCTGGCGTTCTCGGGCAGGTCTAGTGATCCTTGGGTAATAGAGTTCTCCAAAATCGGGTACTCGGCTGCAGCAAGATACCTGCTCTCATTAGCCTCGGTTTATTAAATGGATAGCTTACGAAAGGAGTCGAATTACTTATGGAGAGCAGAGGTGTGTGTCGAGAGACCGCCAAAAGAAGACGCAATGGTATTGAACTCAACCTGCTTGACTTGCAAAGAAGAATTCGGGGCTTCGGTATCCTGATGCACCATGTAGTCTGAGCGGAACAAGCCTAGAGACAGGGGCTATGATCTTGTTAATAAGGCGTCTTTGACGGAACTAAGAAACACTTGCCTGTGTATATCCCTCAGCCTTAACCTTGGTATGGACGTCCCATAAGTTTCGAATAAACTCATCACCATCTGAGACCCTAAACTAATTTAGAAATGATAGCTTGCAAACCGGAGGTGTACTCACTCCTTCACAACCTGAGCCAAGAACTCTTCATCCCTGCTCACTGAGGCATACAGCTCGTTGTAAGTCTTTTGAACTGCCTTACCCTGCGCGAAGCATTGCTTGGGAAATGGACTTGGGAAGAGGGTCACAGGAACATTGATAGCAGCGATGCTTTTGGGGTCTGCCTCGGCGGGTATGACTGTGGGAGGAGGCCTGACTGCGAGGCCATTACCTATTGACCAGTCCTTGACGGTCTCGATGAGGGCGTCCTTTTCTTCGGCCTTGAGAGTGGGTGGGTATCTCCCGTCTGTGAGAGAAGCCATTATGCTGGAACTGACCTAGGCTTTGCAATGAGATGTCCACCGAGTGACAGGAATCGAGAGATACTGTTGATGACAGAATACCTTAGTCAAGGTAGGTATGGAAGAGAAGTATGAAAAGTCCTTGGTGTATTAGTCAAGACGCTGGCTTGTGTGCTTAGCTGAACGGGGTGGCTTAATAATTACAGTGGGTGCGGGACGCGGAATACCTGAAGATAAAAGGCTCGTCCTCATGTTCAAATGTCTAATTTTAGGCGATAGACCATTTGCGAGACCCACGGCGAATTGGTTCACCCTCTAGACGGCAATTGGACTCAAAGGACTCTGCGTTTGGCGTAGTACTTTATTTGGGTGTTTTATGAGGGGCATTTACGATAGCGGGGTAGCAGATTGTGAATTTTATACATATATTATCGAGTAAAGTAATAGGTACCTAGGTAGGCATCCTGTTTTGCTCTTCACTTCCGGCGGGATTGTCATTCTACCTTGTATTGATATCTTGGGGCCGCGCCAAACACAGCAGCGTATACTGGTCGATCTCTAGTATGCATGAACAAGATGAAGCTGAGGACAATGGATCCGTCACAATAGAGTAAATGGATGTGATGTACCTGGGATACGGAGTGATGTGATCGGAACCCACTTGTACATTACCCTCAGGGAGCAAGAAAACGCCGTACCTTTACATGGGATATCAAAATAAATTCAGCAAAAGGCATCCACACTTCTGTAAATTACCCAAGCCTTTTTGTCACTTATGGTCAATGTCTCGAGTTTTCTTTTCTCCCCGAGGTTACCTACCTAAGGTTGTGAGGTAGCTTACCCAGTACCTGAGTAAATACCAGACACAAAATAAGTCCCTGTACGGAGTAGTATTGCAGAGTAGAATGGATGGAAAAGACTGCTACCTTTTGCCATTGTCTTCTCTTTCCCACGCGCTTCATTCTCCCTTTTCAAATGTTCCCATTCTCTTCTTCTTCCTTCTTTAGCTTTTTACCTACTAACTATACCTACCTATAGTAGGTAGTCAATTACCTCCAAGGCCAATACCAAGTGCACCTTCCTTGCTTGTTGGAACTCGCAGAGTCACGTGACAGACCCAAGCTGCCATTCCCGGTCCTGAATGGAGGTGGTTGCCACTTTCACACGCACAGTACCGTTGCCTTTGGGTACCGTGCATCAAACGCGCTCGCTCTGAATGGAAAAGAAGGCACTCTCTCCAACATCGCTCAACTTTGCACCTATGGTTTCTGCGAAACTCGATTGATTCTTTTCCCTTCTGTTTTTCTTCACTCTAGCGATCTCATAGAACTCATAGAGAAGCCAGCCTTGAGATTTTCTTTTCCCCTTCGCACGGTTTCACCTCTCTTGCGCTCTGCTTACACCTTCACTTCACCTCATACTTTTCTTCCAAGCCTTTGATACCCAAGTCTTCATCTTTTTTGAGCATTTGGGATTTTATTTAGCGCTATAACACAACGAGGATTCAGCCTTGAGTGGCCCTTGTCAAACGCGGCCAAGCGGCGGCGGCTATGCACATTTCCTCCCGCACATATTCTAGTCGCTGGGCCTTTACTCAGCAGGCCTGTCACAAAAGCGCATGCTTTGAAGTATAATAAGGGTTTTCACGTATGTCTCTTCCCCTTCATGACTATTTCTCTTAATTGATGTTTAATAACAAGTTCGATAGAAGAATTATCTGTGCTCTTCTCAGCACGTGTGTCGCCAAATGGATGACATTGTGGATGATCCCTATTCCTGGGATATCGACGTGGTTGTTAAAAGACTCTGCGCTCCTGGGGTCCCATGGAGTCGAGATCCTGCATTCCTCGCCACACGTATCCAGGAGGAGGAGTTTGATGGCAAGACTCTATTGACCTTTGAACATGTGTGTTCGCGTCAAGAGTTGATGGACTGTCTCGGCATTAGGATCGCCCGCCACAAAGCTGCCCTCGCAGAAGCTATTGTTACTCTCCGTTCTAAAAGCAAAGGGTATTGGGAATGGCAAGCCGACTTCAGGCGAAAACAATCTGGATTCCCTGGCGAGGAAACCGAAACCTCAACACATGCCACGGAACAACAGCAATCCTTGAATCTTCTGAACCGTGATCATTGTAAAGAAAAGGAGACGCCCGTTTCCGTTTCTGATACCAATGGAACGAATCCTCATGCTGCAGGGGACCCATTGCAGGAGGAGTCAGATAATCAAAACCACACGCACACACACGAAGCAGATGGCCAGCTTCAACTCTCAACGCATTCTCGCCAGCCGCCCATTCATGAGCCTCCAGACCAACTTCCCGAGTTTCATGAGAGGTCTAGTAAACGCAGGCGAGTGGCGCCCATGCTGTTGACAGACATACCAAGGAACGCCGATCCCGCTTTCCTCCCTACGGAAGCTGATGTGCTTGACTACGCGATTACTAAGGCTGGGGTGGAGTTTGCAGACGATGACTCTGCTGACTTTCCGTGGGATAATGCACCCTCGTATGCCTACCTAGGCAAGGGCAAGATTTCAAGGGAGGACATGCTGACCCCAACTGGCATGTTGAGTTCTCTCCTCAATGAGAGTGACGATTCCTTTACTTCATTCAGCATAAATACAATCCCACCTGGAAGAAGACTCGCGGCAAACAACATGCTCAAGCGGCTTCTCACGGGCCGCTATCGCATACCTATCCATTCCTCTAGGTCGGCAAGTCATCTTTCCAACGAGTCTGACGAGATCCTCGAACTCACCGACCTTGACAAAGAACTGGACGCTGAGACCTTGAGGGAGATAAAGGAAGAAGAGGCCGAGAACGAGA